CTCACAGCAACCTCCAACTCCTGGGCTCAAGCGAGTCTCCTGCCTCCGCCTCCCAAGTAGCTGGGACCACAGGTGCCCGCTACAACGCCCGGCTATTTTTTGGTTGCAGCCGTCATTGTTGTTTGGCGGCCTGGGCTGGATTCAAACCCATCACCTTAGGTGTATGTGGCTGGTGCCTTAGCCACTTGAGCCACAGGCGCTGAGCCAATTTTTAAATTTTTTGTAGATATGGGGGATCTCACTGTGTTGCCCAGGCTAGTCTCAAACTCCTACTTCAGCCTGTCCTACAGTGCTGGTTTTATAGGCATGAGCTACTATGCTGGTCTTGTTTATAATTTTTAAAATGTGAAGTTGTTGGTTAATCTGTTTTCCTTTATTTGCAATCTTTTATCATATGAAATTCTTTTTTTTTTTCTTTTTTTTTTTTTTTTGAGACAGAGCCTCAAGCTATCCCCCTGGATAGAGTGCTATGGTATCACAGCTCATAGCAACCTCCAACTCCGGGCTCAAGCGAGTCTCCTGCCTCAGACTCCCAAGTAGCTGGGACCACAGACACTGCCACAATGCCAGGCTATTTTTTGGTTGCAGCCGTCGTTGTTTTGGTGGGCCCGGGCTGGATTTGAACCCGCCATCCTAGATGTATGTAGCTGGCGCCTTAGCCACTTGAGCCACAGGCCCCAAGCCTATCACATGAATTTCTTACCAGATAAAATGAATATATTAATGTTTTAATCTCATCTCAACTTCATAGGGATAAACATATACTAAATGTTTCTCCCTGTTGTCAAGTATTACTATCATTAAGTTTCCATTTATCTCCATGTATGCACTCCCTTGTAAATTTGTTTTTGGCCTACACAAGACCATAGTATAGCTGACACAAATTCCACTATTCCTTTGATTTATTTTCCTGCTCTGTGGACCACATTTGGCATGCCCAAAATTGTGACTATGTTGTGCCACCCCCTCCCACCACACACACTCACACGCACGCACACGCATACATTCATCTGCTTATATATATAAAGGGTAGGGGGGATTGCCAAATGTATGTTTGAAGCATAAACAGTTACTGTTCCCAGTATCTGCTCTTTCCTTCTTCCTTTAGTAGCAGAGTTACCCAGATTCTGAACATTTTGCTAGATTCGGACTCTGGATGGAACTTTGGGTTGTGGAGGGGTTAAGTTTGTTCTGTGGCATAAAGAAAAAGATTTTCATGAATGCCTAGCTCCCCATGTGTTGACTAATGGCAGAAGCAGCTCTTGTGTCCCAATATTCTCTCATTCTGTTACTACTAAAGCCCCCTCCTTTTCTAAGTTTTGACTGTCCCACGAGAGTCCATGTATCTCATATTCCCTAAGTGTGGCCACATGACTAGGTTTTGGCCATTGGGACATTAGCAGATGTGATATGTGCAAATTCTGCATACACTTAAGAGTTGATATTGCTCACCACTTGTTCTTTCCTTTTTCCCATTGAATGGAACATGCACATAGTACATAATGGCTTTATATTGACCATGAAAATTAGGAAAGCACTCTAGTGATAGTGGATCAAGAAAATGAATAGAACCTGGTACCTGACAGATTGCTATGTCTCTGCCCTAGAGTGCAGTGGCATCATCATAGCTCACTACATGCTCAAACTCCTGGGCTCCATCAATCCTCAAGTCTCAGCCTCTTAAAGTGGTAAGATTACAGGCATTAGACACTGCAGCTGTTTTCCTAAAATTTCTACATAACACTTCCACAGATCCACCTGGCTGCAAGGGACTGTGGAAATACAGTCCTGATTCCATCGAAGTTTTTGTTTGTTAGGTAAGGAGAATGGGTATTTGGTGAGCAAATGGCAGTCAGTCTCTGCCACTGAGCAAATTGAGGGAATTTCTATCTGAGAGCTTCCATTTCTTTGAAGTTGGGGGCATGGTAGCTTTCTGAAAGGGCCCAAAGAGCTGGGTAGCTGGCTTGAGGAAACTGATGAAAGTCTGAAATAAAGAAAGGGAAGAGTGAAACATAGGAGTGGGAGTGGAACAGGCAGAGAAGTAGGTTTCAGGTGGGTTGTAGGGCATGAAATTGTGTTGCATCAATCTTCACAGTGGCATGATTTTACTCATGTTGAATGTAGCATTCAACAGTCTGGTAGTAGCAGAGTAGTGATGGAAGCTCTTCAGGAAGAATGTGTATAAGGATAGTGCAGTACACTGGTAGGTCTGTCCCATTTTGCTTCTGCAAATACTGTTACATAATCTGAAAATTATGTAAAAGCATATCTTGCTTATAGTTAGAATTTTGTAGTCTTACACTGTAGTCTGGATGCCAAGTGATGGCTCACGTGGTTGAAGTATAAAGAAGAGGAATGTCAGATGCTTCACTAGGTGAGTGAAATTAATAACATCCTGAGAATCCCTCTAGATCACTGGTTCTCAACCTGTGGGTCGTGACCCACAGGAACTGTATTAAAGGGTTGCGGCATTAGGAAGATTGAGAACCACTGCTCTAGATTTCTCTGATGAAATGTAAAATGTCTCTAGGCCAGGTATGGTGGCTCACGCCTGTAATCCTAACACACTACGAGACCAAGGTGGGTGGATTACTTGAGCTCAAGTCTTTGTGACCCCATCCTGAGCAAGAATGAGACCCCCATCTCTACTAAAAATAGGAATAAAAAACTAACCAGGCATGGCGGCACGTGTCTATAATCCTAGCTACTGGGAAGGTTAAGACAAGAGGATCACTTGAACCCCAGAGTGTGAGGTTACTGTGAGATTTATTCTACAAATATCTAATTGATGCCTGTAATATGCCAGACATTGGACAAAGTATCTGACTTAATTAAATTTACCTTCTAGGGCAAGAATGACAAATATATAATGTTGACAGATGGTCATTATGGCCATTCCCTTTCCTTTTTTTTTTTTTTTTTTTCCCTCATAGAGTGCCATGACATTGTACCTCACAGCAACCTAACTCTTGAGCTCAAGCAATCTTGCCTCAGCCTCCCTCATGGCTGGACCAAATCAGAGATGTTTGAGGATTCACCATACTTACTTCCAAAGAGGCTATATAGTCTGCAGTCCATGGAGTCTCTCCCACGGAGAGGAAAATTTTTCTTTTTCTTTTTTTCTGAGACAGAGTCTCACTTTATTGCCCCTATAGAGTACTGTTGCATCATAGCTCACAGCAACCTCAAACTCTTGGGCTTAAGCAATCCTCTTGCATCAGCCTCCCTCCTGCCTGGCACTATAGTGCCCCCCCCACCCCCCGAGCTCAAATAATCCACCTGCCTCAGGCTTCCAGAGTGCTTGGATTATGGGGGAGAGCCACCACTCTTCCCTTTCTATGTAATTCCAGAGG